AAGTATGTTGTGGTATGGAGGAAATGGATAGATTTTATACAACACAAGATGGATATTAAAAAATATTATTTAGCTTTTTAATAATTTATATTGAAAAGCCAATTTTCTTGAAAAGCCAAACTTTTTTTCCTTTTTTTTCTTTCTTTTTATTATTATTATTATTTTCTTCTTTCCTCTTTTCTATTTTTCTTTATATATATATATATATATATATATATATATATATATTACCTTTAATTATTTTATAACTTGTTTAAGTAATGTATTTAGATTTGTTTATAGTTTATTGTTGTTAATTATTTAGTAATTTGTTTAAGTAATGTATAGATTTATCTATATTTTACACTTTTCTTAAGATTCTTTGAAGAAATTCTAATTAAGCCTATATCCAGCTCTGGGATAGTCGGGGGAGGGAAGGGGAGGGTTGGGGAGGGATGGGGAAAATTGTTTTGTTTTTGTATTGTAAAATCTTATAAATTTTCAATTAAAAAAAAAAAATTTCCCAGGACATTGATGGATCACAGTCCAGTTTGGATGGAATTGGTTGATGAAAAAGAGGAGATCGTGGAGGATGAATGAAAATTTATTTAGACAAGAAAAGAATGTTCAAAAGTTAAAGGAGCAATTAAAGGATTATTTTGCTTTAAATATGCATAAGGGAACTTCAGTGTCAGTGGTCTGGGATGCAGGTAAAGCCTACATGCGGGGGATTTTGATACAAATGAATAATGTTCATAGACAGAAGCCGATGCAGAAACGTAAGGAGTTGGAAGATGAGATTAAATTAAAAGAAAAAGCTTTGATTTTAAATCCTATAGATGAGAAGGTTAAGGAATCTATAAAATTGCTTAAATCACAATTTAATATGTTTATGGCTGATCAAACTGCAACTAATTTACTGTATATGAAACAAAATACATTTTGTAATGCTAATAAACCAGGGAGATGGTTGGCTTACCAACTGAGAAAGAAGCAGAGACAGAGAACTATAGATAAAATAAATTATAATGGTAAATTGGTATATCAGAAGGAGTTGATTAAGAAATCCTTTTTAGATTATTACCAAAAATTATATATGAGTACTAAAGTACAGGTTTCAGATATAGATAATTATTTAAATGAAGCTAACTTTCCTAAATTAACAGAAGATCAGAAACAAGAAATTAATGGTTTGATTACTAGTGAGGAGATTGAGACAGTAATTAAAGAATTAAAATTAGGTAAGGCACCGGGTATGGATGGTTTGACATCTATTTATTACAAAACATTGGTACAAGAGATGACTCAACCTTTAAGTGAGGTTTTTAATAATATATTACAGGGTTCAGAGATTCCCCCGTCATGGGGTAGAGCTTTTATATCTTTGATTCTAAAAGAAGATCAAGATCTCACCTTACCAAAGAATTATAGACCTATATCTCTCTTAAATGTAGAATACAAGATCTTTTCAAAAATTTTAGCCAACAGGCTTATGAGGGTTTTGCATCATGTAATACATATGGATCAAACGGGTTTTATAACTGGAAGGTACATGAAGAATAATGTCAGACAAATTATTAACATTAGAATATTTAGATAAAAATAATCAAGTTTCTCCAGGATTGATATTTTTAGATGCTGAAAAAGCTTTTGACCAGCTGAATTGGCAATTTATGTTAAGATTAATTGAGAAAATGAATTTTGGAGAAAAAATTTTACAAGCTCTTGGTGTTATTTAGCAAAAGCAAACGGCACAACTTATAGTTAATGGGGGTTTGTCAGAGGTGTTTACAATAGAGAAGGGGACTAGACAGGGTTGTCCATTGTCACCATTGCTGTTTGTTTTAACTTTGGAAATATTGTTGATTAAAATTTGAGAATCACAGCAAATAAAAGGAATAGAAGTTAATAAAAAAGAATATAAATTAAGGGCTTTCGCAGATGACTTGGTGGTTACCTTATCTCAACCTACTTATTCTGTAATAGAGTTATTACAATTGATACATCAGTATGGACAGGTTTTGGGTTTTAAAATTAATAACAATAAGACTAAAATATTGCCTAAAATATGACTAATCTGGATAAGCAGACTTTGGTTAAGTTGACAGATTTTGAGGTTGTCAATAAGGTAAAATATCTGGGGGTTATTTTATCTGTTTCTAATGCAAAATTGTACAAAAATAACTATGAAAGGCTGTGGGTCAATATACAAAGAGATTTGGAAAATTGGGAGAAGTTGCAATTATCTCTTTTGGGAAGAATTGCGGCAATTAAAATGAATGTTTTGCCAAAGTTTCTTTTTTTATTTCAAATGATACCTATTTTAAAGAATGAGGTTAATTTAAATGAATGGCAGAAAGGTATTAACAAATTTATCTGGGCAGGGAAAAAACCAAGAGTAAAACTTAAAATTATACAGGATATTCGTGAGAGAGGTGGACTCAAGGTACCGAATTTGAAATTGTATTATGATGCTGTGGTTTTAACATTAATAAGTGATTGGGTTAATTTAACAAATGTAGAAATACTCCTCTTAGAGGGTTGGGATTTACTTTTTGGATGGCATGCCTATTTAATTTTTAATAAAAAGGTTGATAGGGTCTTTAAATCTCATATTATAAGGATTTCTTTACTTCGGGTTTGGAGGAAATATTATAGAAGTGATTTTAAAATTCCATTATGGGCTATACCGGGGCATGCGATTGAAGGGATAAGGAGAGGAGTCAAGATGGATAGCGTTTCTTATGCACAACTACTTAGATGGGATGGTAAAAATTGGCAATTAAAATCTTTGGAAGATTTAATACAAGAAAATATTATTTACTCATGGTTTCATTATAGACAAATAGTGGAGAGGTGGAAGATAGATCGTAATGTGGGTTTACTTAGAGAAGATGAGAATTTATTAAAACAAATAAAAGATCAAAGACGAACCCATATTAAGAGAATTTATGGGGTGTTAGTAGAATTGGATTCAGAAGTAGAATTAGTTAAAGAATGTATGGTTAAATGGGCACAAAATTTTGATGAACCGGTTCTATTAGATACTTGGGAAATTATTTGGGTGAGGAATGTTAAATTTACACAAGCCCAAAATTTAAGGGAAAATTTTTACAAAATGTTTTATAGATGGCACCTTGATCCACAAAAAATGTCTCGTATGTATCCTGACTTACAGCCTAAATGTTGGAGATGTGGATGTTTGGATGCTACTTATTATCATATCTGGTGGTCATGTAAAAATATAAAAGCTTTTTGGATTAAGATATGGTGGAATATTCAAAGAATTTTTAGAAGAAGGGTAAAATTTACTCCACAACTGTTTTTGTTAGGTATTGTTTCTGATTGTGATACTAAAGAGACTATATTGATGTTAAATTTAATCACAGCAGCAAGGTTGTTAGTAGGGCAATGTTGGAAGAAGGAATCTTTGCTACCTTGCAAGAGTGGTTTTTTAAAGTTTCTTATTTGGCGGAAATGGCAAAGATTTCCGCTTTCTTGAAAGACCAATCGCAAGAGAAGTATTTTTTGGTATGGAAAAAATGCATAGACTTTATACAATATAAGTTGGATATAAAAAAATATTATTTAGCTTTTCAATAACTTATACTTAAAATTTAAGATATTTTATAGACTTTCCTTTTTCTTTCTTCCTATTTTCTCGTATTTCCTTGTATTTTTGTTTTTTTATATACATATATTATTGTTAACTACTTTACAATTTCTTTAATTAATGTATTTAGATTTGTTTATGGTTTATATTTGTTTTAAGACTTTTTGAAAAAATATTAATTAAGCCTGTATTCAGCTCTGGGAAGGTCGGGGGAGGGCATGGGAGGGTTTGGGGGGTTTGGGGAAGGGAACCGTATTGTTTTGTAAAATTTAAAAATTTTCAATAAAAAAAAAGACTACATTCACACAAAATGCTACAATATGCAAAATATTTTGAATGTTGAGTCACAGTTGTCATGCAAGTCATAAAGAGTAGTATACAAACCATAGTGATTGGATTGGTATAATACATAAAACCACATACTATAATCATTGTTATTTCCTTGATTTGTCCTCTACAGAATTTTTCAATAAATATTAAGATACTAAGAAGGGAAAAGGTAGCACTAAAACACCAAGAACTCCACTTATCTTTCTCTGGATCCAGCAGGATTAAAAAAAACCTTTACATTCTAAAGCAGTATTTCTTAAACTTGGCAACTGGCTGGAAATTCTGGAGTCAGAATCAACACATCTTAAAGCTGCCAAGTTTGGGAAACACTGTAGGATCCAATCTGGATCGGTCACTGGGACCAGAGGTTTTGTCTTCCAAGCTTTCGGACTCGTGTGAAACACTGTTTTAAATAGAAATAGCGCTTAGACTTATATACTGCTTCAGAGTGCTTTACCATCCTCTCTAAGCATTTTACAGAGTCAGCATATTGCTCCCAACAATCTGGGTCCTCATTTGGATCCTCGTAAGGAAGGAAGGTTGAATCAACCTTGAAGCGAACTGCTTGCAGTCTCCATTGTTAGCCTGCAATACTGCATTCTAACCACTGCACCACCATGGCTCTTAAAACATAAAGTGGCTTTGTAGATTTATCCTACTATAAAAAATATTAAAATAATTTCTTAATATCAAATTCATTGGATGAAAATAGAGTTGATTCAGCCAACCACATCATTTATGAATTATTATTTCCTATGATTAATATTCTATATTTTGGTAATTTATCACATGGTTACAGAATGAAGTTCTTATTCCTCTTGGGGTAATTAACATGCCTTCTAAAGGAAGACAGATGATGAAATGAGTACTGTATAATTACCCTAAGGACTGAATCAAGCCAAAGCTAAGTATTTTTAAGCACCATTGATTTCAATGAGTGAGTTAGTTGATTTAATTCTTGCATCAATATGAACAGATCTGAAAAAACAATGCTGATTGCTTTTGCAGTAAGAAATAGATAGTTGAGAAACTTTATGTAAAAACTGGATTCTTAAATTATTTATTCTTTTCTGTTTAGTGACAGTTATAGTGACATGAGTGAAGAGAATTTTCCAGGAAAAGAAACAAGCGTAACATGTTCAGGAGTGCAAGAAAAGCATAGAGAAGACAGGTAAGCCTATTCCTTTCTCCCCACCTCTCAAAGCAATGACTTGCTCTAGAATTTTCCTTAAGGCAGCAGAAGAAGGAGAAATTTCCTGACAGTGAGAACAATTAATCATTGGAAAGGGTTGCCTTCCATCACTGGAGATTTTAAGACAGCCATTTGTCTGAAAAGGTATAGGGTCTCCTGCTTGAGCAGGAGGTTGGACTAGAAGACAGTCAAGGTCCTTTCCTACTCTGTTATTTTGTTATTTCTAAATATATTATCTATCAGTTCTGTTAATTTATATACCCCTTCCACTAAACACAAAAACATATTTAAATCATGTCTAATTTCATTCTCCAATGTCATGTTAAACATGACTACTGATTTATGCCTTAACCCAGAGAAGATATTAATTATTCCTAAGCAGGAACGTTACAATCACTCACTTTTAGATTGTTTCAACAAAGAAAAGCAGAATATAAATATGATAAATAAGCATTTTTGTCAAAGTAATGTAGTTTTTTTGTTACAGAACCATATTTTTCAATTTCTAAAATCTAAATTGTCCATTTGAGGTAAAGTTAGAGAAATATTCATGATTTGGAGAAATCAAATTGCTAAATAGATGCTTAAAGCTTAAGGTACTAATGTTATCCCTTTAACCTCTGGTAGTTTAAAAGACATAGATCCTCCTAAGTTGTCCTTATTGAAGATGATATCACAATGTCTACTAGTGTCCCATGGGGCTCCTAATAAATATAGTCACCACGTATTAACAGATGACCCTCTCTGCTTTAAGTATTTATGTTTTTTTGTCTGTTTGGGGAAGTGCACAGTCCAAATACGTTTCTATTCCAGTCTATACTATCAGTACATTTAAAATGGTAGAAACAAATTTTCTGGCATCCATATGCTGTTTGGGACAGCATCTCTGACCAATATGAACCTCCCTTCCCCTTTCATCTCCCCTCCCTTCTCTCCAAATGACACCTGCTTTGTTTATAGACAGAGCAATCAATTTGTCAGATAGTATTCCAAAGTACCCTCCCTTTTCTTTCAATACACTAAAAATGTACTGATAGAACATATTTTTCTGTTTTAATTTTGATGCAGTCAGCTGGCTGACTTATAGATTTCTAAAAACGATATTTCAAAAATAATTTGTTTAATTCAGTGGAAGTAAAATTGCATCAATACACACATATACACATACAATCTATTTTCCCCTATGTTCCTCTTGTCTTCTTTCAGACTCAGACTGCAAATCTGTACAAGTCTACTCCTAAGCAATCCCTATTGATTCAACAATAATGGATATAGAACTGAAACTCTAAAGTACTTTGTAGATATTGCCCTATATTTTTTAGGTTTTAAGAGGTACAGGTATTTTCACAACTTTGTAATTTCTAGCTAGAATTGTTCTTGCTGCTGCGTTTCACATCCTGTCATATTGAAATCACAACATGAAAGCAAGCTAAATGGTTGCCTATTCCCTATGCCAGCAATAGGAAAAGTCAAATGATTCCTATAGTTGAAATGTTTTAAGGATCATATAAATCTTACATCATAAACTAGACAGACAACATGAATCTGTCATATTTAGAAGTGCAAATGAAGAGTCTGGCAGAGAATGTCTAATGACAGAATTTCTCTTCCAATGTTTCTCTTTCATTTCAAGGACAAACTTTTTTTTATGGGCCAACTATAGAAATATTAATTGCACATGCAGAGGAAGAGTTGCATAATCATCATTTTTAAACCTTCTTCTCTTTTTGGCAAGATAAAAAAACAAGCAGAAGAAAAAAGCATAATTGAAAAGGCCATTCCAAAGAAGAAAAACTGATTAAGTTGGAGAAGATATGCAGCTGCCTCCTATTGAAGGTCCCCATGTTCTTCAGAATGTTTCTGCTGCCTCAATGGAAAACCGGTTCCATTTCAACATTATCACTCTCTCTAAACTGCATAAAGTCCACCTCATGCTGCCTCACCATTTCAAGTGAATTTGTTAGCTTTGTGCTAGTATTTGGTGGTAAGGAGAGTGTCAGAATTCTATATTTCTGGATTATTTAAAACATGTCTTTCAGCCTATTTTTTATGCTACAGTTAGAAGGACATTTGATGCACTATAACTTTTTTCTTAAGTAATGCTTATTATATATATATATCATTATGTGCACATTTCTGTAAATATTTCTACCTAGACAGAGTTAATGTTGATTGGGATAATGATACAGGGATCCAAGATAATGAGCTGACAAAGAAAGTTTGGCTTAAGAACCAGTCTTCTCTACAAATTCAGCTTCAGTCCTCTTATATGTGCAGGGAGTAATGAGAAATAAAAATAAATATAAATCTGTCTAGTCTGTTTACTTGGCCTTCTTGTTTCATACTTACCCAGACTGCTGTAAGTTTGAAAAAGAGTCTGCCTTTTCTATGGACAAGATAAGCCAACCTATAACGTAACCCTGTATTTCATTTCTTAGTTTTTGATCACTTTCCTTTTTCAGTGGAGAAAAAAATCCTTTCTTTTTAAAAATCTAAATGGCTGGAAGGAAAAGCAATGACTTTTTTTGAGGATGAGAAATATGTAAGAAGCTTTGAATAAAAATAAATAAAGATAAGAAATGTGTGTTGTTTTCATCCATCCAGATTTCCTAAAAGTCTAGATCAGTGGTTCTCAACCTTTTTAGTGCCGCGACCCCCAACCGGTCGTAAGTTGAGGACTACTCAACTGGTCGTAAGTCGAGGACTACTCAACTGGTGCAGCACCGTTTGCAGAATGTGACTTTTGGCGGGCTCAGCAGGGCAGAGACAGCCTGGACAATTCCTATTGGCTTTTGAAAGCCAATAGAATTAGACTCTATTCAAGAGAGTCTATTCTATTGGTTTTCAAAAGCCAATAGAATAAAAGGGAGTAGCACAGCTAAGGAAAAGGGGGAAAAAATGGCGGACTGCATTGTTTGGCGACCCCCGTGAAATGGTCGTTCGACCCCAAATGGGGTCCCGACCCACAGGTTGAAAACCACTGGTCTAGATAGAAACAATTACTTTAAAAAGTGCTTTGTTTGGGCATATTCCTCTAGCCATTTCCATATATATTTTGCAGAAAAGATTGGTGCATATTACTTGTATGCAGTATTATATTTTCTGTCAATGTATCTACTGCACTAAAGCAGAACCATTGCCTCATTAATAATTTGCACTGTTTCTTTAGAGACTAAGTCTCTAGCCTGACTATGGCAATATGTTTTTATGGCATTTTTTTTCAAACTAGACTAAAAACAATATGCTTTATTTTTTCTTGTTAAAAGAGAGTTCTCCAGAACAGACATTTGACAAGAATATCCTCTAATTTGGAGTTTTTAAATGATTTTCCATTATCCAAGTAATATCTTTGTTAATATGAAGATCTACAGATGTCTCCCAACCCCGCGGAAAGATAACAGGTTAAAAATATATACTCTGTATAATTATTTAAATGATGCTGGTATAACGTGCCTTGAAAGTTAATTGATATTGTTAGATGATTGCATCTCATTGAATTATGAAGATTACCATGTAAAGCACTGGCCCCCAATCTTTTGGGCACCAGGGATTGGATCTGTGAAGGTTTTTCAGTGGATGGAGGAGGCATGGTTTCGTGTGCTGCCTGCATCCTGTGAAGCTTGTTTGCACGGCCCAGTATGATGACCCAGGGCACAGCACAGAGGCAATGCAGTCAGCTGGCAATTCAAACAGTTCTTTTATTGCTCCAAATTTTCCCCAAATGCTCCCATGTTTTCTGGCAAGCCTCCAACAAAAGAACACACACACCCCTTCAGCCGACTCTGGCTGAAAGTAGGTTCAAATACAGTCTGATTAGCATAAGAAAGTACTCAAGGCCATCGAGATAACAAGGAAGAAAACATAAACTTAACAAGTCTGTTTGAATCCTAGCTTGCCTGAGCAGTTTTCAAAAGAGAGAATCCAAAATACAGTCCAAGGTCTTTAAACATTCAGGTAACGTGGTCAGTCAATCCAATAGTTCGAGTTTCCAGGTTCCCAAACAGAAGTCATAGAACAAGAGATCAACAACAACACACACTCCAGGAATCAGCATTTGTTCCTGACAAATGCCCCTCCCCATAGCATCTCCTTAAATCTCAAATCTCCAGGTGTTCCTTATGGAGAAGGGCGGGATGCTCTCCTCCTGAGTAATTGAGCCTGCCTGCGTTGTTCCCTCCTCTCCATGCTCTAGGATCAGGTGGTAGGGCCCTTGCTCATCGCCTGAACTCTGCCTCTCCTGTTCCAATCCTGAAGGGCTTGCCTCGGCGTGCTCTTCCCCACATTCCTCTGAAGCCACAGACACCTCTCCCTCAGCCTCCATAGGGTCCTGTTCCAGTTCATTTTCCTCCGCAGATTCAGGCTCAGACAGAGGCATGACACCCAGTTTCTGCCATGTGGTGGCCCGGTGCTGATCTACAGCCTGGGGGTTGTGGACCCCTGATGTAAAGTACACCAGGTTTTTCTTAGGTATTTTTTGTTAAGTCCAAACTGGATATGAAAATGCATTAAAAATATATGTGTTGTTCTTTTATATTCAACTGTGAGTTAGTAGAAAAACATAGAGCTCATGTTTTCTCATTTTTATAATTCATTTTATATAAATGAGTTTACTTGAAGAAAAAAGAGTGAAATATAGAAGCCTCAAGTTTTAGGATGCAATTAAATTCTTAAGTTAGTAATTGCCTTTTCTGTATGACCCATTCTCTCTCTCTCCCTCCCTCCCTCTCCCTCCCTCTCTCTCTCTCTCTCTCCCTCCCTCCCTCCCAGTTAGTGGCAACTGAAGAGTAAATTGTTCAATTCAAGAAATAATCAAGCTGTCTTGAAGTTCACAAAGTCTTTAATGGAGTGATTTTCAAGCTGCTTCTTGAAGTGGCCCAATTTAGAAATTGTCCAGGTGTTATCACCAAGAATAGGTACTAATTAGCCAGCGGTCATAAATATAGAAGAGGACTCTTCTAAATCATGAGTCCCCAACCCCCCCGGTCTGTGGACCAGTACTGGGCCGCGGCATGCCAGCAGCCAGTCTGCACAAACAAGCAAAGCCCCATCCGCAAGATGCAGGCAGCACACAAAACCACGCCCCCTCTGGTCTGTGTAAAAACCTCTCTCCACTGGTCCCTGGTGCCCAAAAGGTTGGGGACCTCTGTTCTAAATCATTTGTCACAGTATTTTTATGATACCCATAAGGGGGAGCAATTCTTGTTTCCAAGTTCAGAATTGAAACTGACAGAATTACTGCCATCAAACTTTTTGTGTAGGTGAAAAGTATATGAGCTTAGCCCATGCCACCAAATGGAAATTGCTAGCTAAAATTGCAAATTGCCTTTGCATTCTTGATTATAGGTAGTTGATTTTATGTTGCAGTTCACCCTGTTTGAAAAATAAAAAAGGCAAAGGTAAGTAATGTGATATACTAAACTATTTATTACTGACACCGTTGTGCTGGAGTCAATTTTTTTTTTTAGGAAATATAAAGCATAATGTTGCAATACAGTTCCAGCTTGTTTTTTTCTGCTTACATAGGAAAACCTGTAGGTGTTTTCAACTGAATAACATTTGGATAGGGTCCTTTTACAATATTTCAGGGTTAGATTACTTTAGTTGTTGAATTTGCTTGGCTGACTCTTCATAACAGATCTCTCAGGCAAACATTTTTGCTGCTTAACTTACTAATTTTCACATTCTGTTCAGGAGAATAAATAAAGATGAAAAAAATTAAAGACAAATGGCCTCAAAGAAAGAACTGGTGGGTCCACAAAATAGAGAAAGTAATAGAACATGAAAGAAGCTAAAGTGCTCTGGAACTTTAGAATTCAAACAGACTAGCAACTGCCACACAACTTTCCAGGCTTAGCAATTATTAATAAGAAAGACAAAGATGTCTCAATAGTATCTAAATACAGGAGAATAGAAGAGAAAAACTGAGAACATAAAAAATTAAAGACCTGCAAACAAAAGTAGACTGGCCATGGCAAAAGAAAGCAAAGATAGTACCTGTAGTAATAGGTCCCTTGGGTGCATTCTCAAAATATCTAGGACACCACTTAACACCATCAGCATTGTCAAAATCACCGCAATAATTAGATCTTAAGTCATTTATTCCCCTATATTTTTTTGATATTTATTAAATTTGAATGCTGCCTATTTAGCCTAGAGACAACTCTAGGCAGCTTATACCAAGTAAAAAGTATTTACTTTTTGTTTAAAATGATGTGCTAATTTGGCTATTCTGTGATTTTTCATGATTTTGACAGAAGTCATTTTACAATTGGTTTCAGAGTAGTTACCTTACTCCAAAGAAAGTATTCTTCTACTGATAATATTCAACCTACTGGTGTCGTGGTATTAGCCAAATACAAGGCTGTAGTAGTGGGACAAAACCTGGTTTTGTATATTATGGTGTTTATCACTATGCTTCCATTTTCATTCTTGTTCTATCATCCAACAAGATGGCAATTCCTTTTCAAAAAGTTCTGAATAACCAAAGAAAGGAAGATTTTTCTGAGTCTTTTTGTCTACCCCTGGTGGAAAAGGAAGCTCTACTATAATGATGTGTTATGACCCTAGTAATTATCAATTGACGCTATCTGCATTTTTAAATATAGATGCTAAATATGAAGAGCATCAAATGCCACATTGCATGTAAGATGACCTTTAGAATTAATATCAGCAACAAATGAAAATGCCAGCCTACCTCTTATATACCTCACCAGTTATATTTGTTTATAGTTTCTAAGCCATAAATATGCCATCTTGTTTGAAAATGCATTAGCTTCATTGGTCCTGTTTGAATAACTTTCCTGCATTCAGTTATATTGCATAATAAAATTGCAATCATTTTTGGCTGGTTATGTTTTATGTTACTTTCTCATAAATGCACCTAATAGGTGTTTATACATGTTAACATAACATGAAATGAAAATAGGAAAACAAACCTCTCAAATTTTTAATTTTAAGGCCATGATAGTGATTTACTAGTGTAAAAAGGTTTTGCAAGTCAATCCTCCATGACTACCATATTGTAGTTTTACTCCATGCTTAACTGGGCTGGGACCTTCACAACAATCCAAAGCAGGAGGAAGATTGTCAAGCAGTGACAGAAAGTACATGGCACATTCCAATAGATGGCCAGAGCACCTTCCCCAACTCTCCATACCATACCAAGGACTTCTAGCTGCATTATAATCATTTAGATGAGTTCCATTTCTTCGACTTTCATTTCAATCCAGAGTTAGTTTGCTGTAGTGGATGAGGCATCAGATAGAATCTGGGAGACTGTGAGTTCTAGTTTTGCCTTGGGCACAAAGCCAGCTGAATGACTTTGGATGAATCACATTCTCTCAGTACTAGGAAGGAGGCAATAGCAAAACACTTCTGAAAAATCCCAGATTCTTTTTCACAAGGCAAGTGGACTTTCTTGGTTTTTTTTGAAGACATTCCATCATCTAAGAAGTTTCTTCAGCTCCAATTAGATGGTGGGGAATGGAAGGATTTATACTCCTTGCAAACAGTTGGTCATTTGCATTCTTTTAGAGAGTTATTGAGGCCACTTGGAGGTTTATTTGTGTCATCAGGG